CTAACCGTTTCGGAGGAGTTTAACTACAAACACCGCGACACGAGAATTTTATATATTAGATTATATATACGCGTTATAAAATCTTGCGTCGTGTCAGATGAAAGCATTATTCCCTACTTATATATAAAAGAAATTATGATGCCATGAACAAAAATGAACACGTTGATTTGATATGCACTATAAGCTCAGGCTTTCTCAAAAATAAACGATGTCGAGTCAGACTCTAGCAACCCTTTTAATTCAATTAACATTTGATGAATTTTACGAATGGTTTTATTTTTAATTGATTCCGTTTAAAATTTTTAATGAATAATATACACGTGACGTGACATTTTAATATAAAGCTTTTTATCACTATATATAGAGACATATATGTATACACACTATATACTTAATATAATATTTCGATCATTCGTATCAACCTCAAAAAAAAATCTTTCTCCGCGATACACAAAATAAATATAAGTATGTGAAACCAAATGCACTTTGGCATAAAGTATATTTACTATAAATAAAAAAATCAAATATTGTATTGAATTTTCCTATACTAAATGTTAGGCTATATCTAATATAAAACAAGATAGAAAATGCACAATATCTACAAAACGAATAAAGCATTCCAAATGAATTCCACAGTATTGTATTGCATCAGTTGCTGCTCGGTAACCCATTTAGAGAAGACAAACGGGAGCGGTGGGAAAATCAATTATTTTATCGCCTGTATCTCAGGCATTCAGGGGTGCGGACAATGGTTGAAATATTGAAAATTTAATTTAAGGCCTAATTTTCAAAAGGCTAAGGGAAAAGTCTAGCTGAAAATGGAACTGCAAATTAAATGATCTTATGACGATATGTCTTTAATTTTATATTGGAGGTTTACATAAAAGTCATAAAGTTGAACGTTTTGATCTTACCGCCTTATTCATGAAAAATAAATTAGTTTCATTACTCTTCAATTAAATTTTGTTTATACTATATTGGAATAGATAAATAAGTATAAAACAATGTAATAACAGGAATTGTGAGAGCAGTGTTGGCCTAGTGGCTTCAACGTGCGACTCTCATAGCTGAGGTCGTAGGTTCGATCCCCGGCTGTGCACCAATAGACTTTCTTTCTATTATATTTCTATTTAACATTTGCTCGAACGGTGAAGGAAAACATCGTGAGGAAACTCACATGTCTTAGACCCAAAAAGTCGACGGCGTGTGTCAGGCACTGGAAGCTGATCACCTACTTGCCGATTAGATTTAAAAAATGATCATGCAACGGATTCAGAAATCTGACCTAACCTAAAAAGGTTGTAGCGCCACTGATTTATTTTATATTGGAATAGAAGCAAAAAAGTGAAGTTAGTTTCGATAAGGCAAAAGTTAAAAAAATTTGTTAAGTTTTTAGTAGCGTTTCTTCTACAGCATACTTATACCGTAACCGTGAAAAGAGGTATAAATTCAAGACAAGCAGGTCTCCCAATCTCAGTTGATCTGAGACTGACTGACTGACAGTTGAACTTTTCTTTTAAATTCTATTAATTATTTTTTTTAATTATTATTCAATTGATTTTTTTACTCGCTCATTCATACATTCATTAAGACTTGCAAATGTGGACGTTATATTTAAATCATTGCATCTAATATTTTCTCATCTTGTAGTAATTGTTTCAAACCAATAGAAACACATGAATAACGAATATCGCGCATTTATAAAATTCGTTGAAATGATAATCTGTACATAGAATTTCCTTATCACTGCAAAATGAAGATGTCAATCTCTTTTATCACTATGAAAGTATACAGCAGTATGTATGCGCTAACAAGGAATCATATTAAAAGACATCTAGAAATGTCGAGTCAAAATGTGAACAGCATGAATCCGTAGCTTGTGTTAGCTTTACTCTTGACTCGGACACTAGAAGATTTCAACATATTCTACGCTGGCTACATTATAGGGTTAGTATTGGGTAGTAATAAACATTCAATTTATACCTTTTAACATGGGATTAATTATAGAATGTTAGATTAATAAATAATTGCGCATAACAGTTAAAATTCAAATCATTAATAATAAAAATTGTACTTTAATTTGGTTGACTAAGGTTTCAAGTAGTAGAAGGTATTTAACGATAATTGTTAATTATCTTAACTTTTTTTTCGTACTCCTTCAACTAATATAAATTATATATGATAATAAATAATTAAACTAATATATAAGCAAAGATTAAATATATAGTACTTTCAAAAAGGTTATTTTTTTACAATCCACGTCAGGGACACTATCCAACACGATTTCTCTACAGACGCTTTTAAAATTCCCCCATTTTCCTCATAGTTTGGAATTTATCGTACGCTAAAGTACATCGTCCAGCAGTTATAAGACCTTAAAACTTAGGAAAGAGATCTAAGGCTATAGAACCAATAGTTTCTATATGAATACGACGACAACCCTAGAGCTCTTTCAAAAGGTAACGGTTTATACGGCTGAAAAAACGTGTCTAGTTATAAGTTTGTTACATTCCAGGAAATACTGTACAATTTTTTAAATATTTTTTTTTTTTAAAACAATACAGCCTTAACACATAGGCAGTGACAGCCCTATTCCGTCAAGCCTTCCTAACTTGTAATTACATTACTATTACTTCGGGTAAGGATCGTTTACATGCGGGAGGATGTTATGCAAATTACTGAAAACGAAGTTCCAATGGGTTCTAGATAATTGAGGAAACATTTTTATTGTCATTATACTATAATATGACGTTTATATGTAAATTTTAAATAATACAGCTTTCATTCGTATGCAAAGATTATCAAGCGATTCAAAATAGAGTAATCTACCTTGTTATTTTTTTTTGATCCCCTGCCATTGTCCGGGGACTTTTTTCCATCTCTTATATTTTTACTAAGATACATCAATTAAAATCATATTCATTCGTATTACGCGTCTCGCGAGATTCGCACGACGGTTACATCGGTAATATTAAGCTATTGCATAGATTTTATCGCGGGCTTTGAGCGCGGCGACCGAATCAAGAAATTCCGTAACGAAATAAACCTAACACACGATGACGTAATATAGGTGTGGCCAATACGCGTTAGAGCGGGACAGAACGCATACTGCGTCTCACATTGGTTTAGCGTGATCGGATAGGCGTGTTAGTCTGAGTCTGGTAGAGTGATAGATTGAATTAATATCAAAGAAAAAACTTTAATTAATATCAAAGAAAAAAAAATACTGCAAAAAATAAATAAATAATTATAGTGCATTAGTTTATAAAAAATGCTACGCAATAGCTTTACCGCGGCAGTCCGCGAGTGCCACACGTATTTTTTTTTTATTTAGAATATGCATAAGCGAGCCGGGGCGCAATTGCTTACGAGACCCGTTCTTTCATTTTTGTTTGCCTCCTTCTGATATTTAATAATTTTGTCTCAGAACCGTTCTAGGCACAGTCTATGCTTTGTTAACATGTCCTGTAGGCCGTTACGGTCTACTGTCATCTGTGTTTGTTGCTCCGGGTCGTGTCTGGACGGTGCGAATATGTATGCATTTTTCCTATTATTTAAGGAGTAATGAATGCCCCATTTTATCACTGAAAGAATCTATCGAGATTAAGCCAACAATATTGTGAAGCATCCAGAGAATCATAAGTGTACAATGTGTTACCTATATGATTAAATGATTTTTGAATTTGAATTTAGAATAGGTTTGATATTAAATCATGCTGAATAAGGCCTAATGATAACAACCTCTTCCCCCACATAATTCAAACGTTATAGTCTATATTTTATATGATGACAATGAATTTTCCGAGGCTTACTATAATATTTAGTAAGCTCATGTGCGCATAGAGCATTCGACGCTCGCTAAAACCGATAAGAGATTTTCAGTCAGCTTTTGAATAATCTTCGTAAGCCCTATTCAATGGAGCTGCAAGTATGTGTTAATTTATTTTATATAGATCTCCTATAAAGTTTCTATGTAGCGATTGTAGTTTACTTGAATTTCTACTATACGAATTATACATAATAATATTACTAGATACTCATATTAGCACTGATAATGTTTGAATAAAGGTTGTTAAAACGCTCGAAGGGGCGCAGAGTTGAAGGTCTAAGATAGTTTGGAAGTGCGCATTATTTTTATCATAAAAATCAACAACAATTTATTCTGAATTGTATCTAGTAGATGTTATACAATAATATTGCCAAATCATGTATCTCTATATATTACAAATATCCTTTTCATACGTGTTATAATTATTCCAAGTTCTAGTAACCGCGTCCAGTTTTTGGAAATTACATTAAATTTATAATATAATATATATAAAAATAAACCTCCCTAACAATAGTCGGGCCTATAAAATGTCAAAATTATTCGTGAATTAAACTTAAGGTAACAAAAGCTAAAAATTGTCGCCCTCGTTGAAATATGGCTTCGGCCTTGACCGCATAAAAACCTAACGCTACAATTTACGTGATATAAGAGCATTACAAATAATTTAATGTACCGAACACGATAAAAAATGTAACAACGGCAAAATCAGAAATAGAATATTTAGCCGAAACGTAGATATTCAATAAGATAAAGGTGAGCACGTTTCCAGTAAAAACAAAATATCTCTGGTTAATATACCACAATTGTCTTGGATTTACAAGTACTGCACTACTCGTAAGTCCAAGACAATTGATTTTGAATTTGATGAAAATGGGATATGCTTTATTTCTTTACAGGATTCTGATTCTTCTGTTGCTAGGTAACTTCCAGTGTTTATAAGAATAGCAAAAGACAGAATACCGTTCAAGAACAATCTTATTGCGCATAGAACCGATTGCCTACGACAATAACAATTAATAGACAAATAACACGTGCGTAACATATCCCACGTCACGCGTCCTACGGGATTCAGGATCAATCAGTCATTAGACAGCGAATATTCATGAGATTACTATATAAGCCCAGATATTCCCCGTCTCACTACATTCACCGAACTATCTCCGCAAGCATCATGAAGTACCAGGCCCTCCTTATCTTTGCTCTCGTCTTATGCAGCAGTCAAGGGGAAGGCCGAATGTTATGCGGGGGAAGACTGTCCGAAATCGTAGCGTATTTATGTGCAAACCCGTTGACGAGTAGAGAAGATTTCGCCAGTAAGTTCTTACTCGTTAAGAGTTTTATTCTTAAACTTTCTTTGGTGAGACGATAAAAGTTTTTTAATGATAATGTCTTATGTCTCAACTTTCATCATTTTGTGCTTGAAACATAGTTAATTATATTGATTTCAGGTTTTCAAATGAAACGAGCCGAGAACTCCTACAACTCAATAACCAATGCTGTCGACTGGCCTTGGATCCAACAAAATGAAGCTAAGGGGATTAGGAACAAGCGTAGAATCATCGACGAGTGTTGCAAAAAGTCCTGTACTGTTGACGAACTCATGGAATATTGTTAAAATCTGCTATAAATGTTCAGTTAATTACATAATATCATTGTAGCAGAATTTTACATAGATGTTATAAACGGGTTCCTTGGTATGTAAATAAAATCCATTCATAAATAATCACAAAAACATCTTGTTGCTCTATATTTGGCCTACCGATTTTAAGGCGTATAAAAACCGAACTATTAATCATTAAAAGTGATTTAGCGACCAATAAACGTACACATTAAGCACCAGAACTAAATAAAGCAATTGACAAACAAACCGGGCGCTGAGAGCAATCACATCAATTTGCTGGGGGCTGGTTTTTTGCTCGATTCGCGTCAACCTACATACCACCTCGGTGACAGGTATTGCTGGCATACATTGAAAACTGTTTTATAAATTTGTACTTATTGCGGTATTTATTAGGCTTTAAGTAAGACGATCAACTTTTCAAACAATCCATGAAGATGTTTTATTGACAATCGAGTTCGGATGTAAACGTTTAGGTATCAAGCAAAAATTCATTCAGTCCATTTTTAATTCTGTCGTTGATAATAAATGTATAAAGAACTTAGTTTTTACTTAATTTTAACGTAATATTATAAATGTGATAACAGATTACTGATTATAAATAAATGTATATTTATGTGTCGTAAACTTTTTTTTCAGTATAGAAAATTCCTTTGTAAATACCGTAAAAAAAATTTACCCTAGTTAGCAAAGATGTTTTAAAATTCTAGTGGTATCTAATATGGTATTTCTTCTGTTTTTACATATAGTGAACATAGTTAGACTTTCAATTCCCAGTTCTATTTCCGAAGCGGAAATGTAGTAATGTAGTAATCACTATACTGTATTGATTGTGAATTGTGTGGTAAATCCATATATAATTGTTGGTTCAATCAAGATAATATTATTTTTATCACAATATATTATTTAAGTTCGCCTAAAAACGCACACATACACTTATGTACGCCCAGAAATTGCACATTCCCATGCACACCTCAACGTCGTTCAGTAATGTTCGTCGTATATATGGCGTAATCCATTATGGCTATAGTTTTAGAAACTTGTCACAAAATTTATTTATAAGTACATTTAATTGTTTTTTAATAAAACTGATATTTCTTCAAGTTCAAGTCGAATTAACTATTAAGTTGTGCGTGCTTGATTACGTACTTATATTATTGTGTATGTAAGTATAGAAACTCCATAAGTTATACAAAACAAAACATTTAGTTAACCTTAAGATTTAGTCACGATCGCATCCAAAAACAAAAAACAACTAGTTAAAAATGCGAAATGTCAACAAACAACAAAAATTAACTGTGAAATTTTAATAAGTCCTAAAATATTTTTAAATTATATTATTAATTTATTATTATGTAGTTATAAGAAACTTCAATATGTATAAAAGGCAGTAAGGAAGGAAGATGTAAATTTACTTTTACACCTTTTTCCAAATCAAGGGAAACTTTGCCACTCTTTTAAATCATCAAATTTTGGTCATACTGACATATTGAAAGATAATGACGTAAAATCAAAATCGTCTAGCATCAGCGGGCAAAGTAGAAGCACGCATTTTCATAATAGTAACAAATAATAATATAAATAAAAAATCCAAAAATATATTAAATTAATTTATCAGTTTAATCAGATGATTTAACTTAGTGTTTGTTAAATTAGAAAATATCTGTATTCATTAACTTTACTTCACTTATGTTTCATATAAAGTAATTATGAGTAATTAATAATGCAGTAAAAAGTCGTTCAATACCTGTGTAGGTAATTTATTAGTAGCTGTCATACAAGTGCATGCGCGATAAAAATTTAGCGACCGTGTCCATCGACCGCATTATGTGTCACCATATTTACTGGGATAATACCGAAATACATACATTATATTTAAAAAAACGTGTGGCACTCGGGAACTGCCGCGGTAAAGCTATTGTATATTTTTTTTTTTCAACTTATGCAATTATAATTATTTATTTATGCAGTATTTGTTTTTCTTTGATATTAATTCAAGTTTTTTCTTTGATAAATTAAGTCAATCTACCACTCTCAGACTAACTTGCCTATATAGTCTGTTTCACTCTAACGCGCACCGGCTGCACCGATCTCGTCAGAGAGATGTGAATACGCAGTGTGCGTTCTGTCCCGCTCTAACGCGCAAGGTTTTTTTTCGTTATGAAATTTCTGGATTCGGTCTCCACGCTCGAGGCCCGCGATAGAAGCTATGCAATAGTTAAAAAACAAATATTGATAATTTTCCTTAAAAGGCCTCTTATACTTGTCGACGATTTTTTCGCTAGGTATCTTTACCTAAATTTATTTTAAGGGACAAATAAGGGTCCATTTCACACAGAAAATTTATTCAAGGAAAGGTTCATCGCTTCAAGATTGTGAATGGCACGCATTCTTTTTATATAGCAGACACTGTCATATGTGTTTTATGCGTTTAGCAAGCAAATTAAATAGCTTCGTAAATACAATAATTGTTTCGCCAAAGATCAAATCAATCAATCAAATCAAAATACGTTTATTTAGTTTAGATGCGTCTTAGGCCATGCTTATGAATTTCGCAAGACTACGCCATCCGTTCGCAAAACTACCAGGAGGCCTTGTTATGAGAAGAACGGGCAAGAAACTCAGCAAGTTTTACCCTCCCTCTACATTAAAATTTTTCAAAGGATCGATTTCAAGACCTCCATGAGCTTTAATCATGAGCCACGGACGCGGTGTGCTATAAAAACAATGATGCTTAATCAATACGTCTTCCGCGTAGAGGCAAAGTATATAATTGCACCTGAGTTGCATCATCGGACGTCAAGGCAATATAAGAATACAAAATACCATTCGTAGCAGCCCGATGTCCGTCGTTTCACAACTGAGCTTTTTTAAGGTAGCCGGTAGGTAACTGCCCATTGAAGTATTTCTGAACCTTCTCGACTTAGGGTCAAGAAAATAGCGTACCAATTAAAAGGCTGGCAACGCACTTGCGAGCCTATTTGCTATGTGAGTGACCATCCATGGGCGCCGGTATGAATTAACATCCTCCTGATATATAAAAAAAAAGTCTTCGCTGTGTTTTAAATGGCAATACTTTTCACTTTCACTCCAGGATTGTAAAGTAGAACGTGCTTTGCTTGGTCACTTAAACAGTTTTGAATATAAATTTAAGTTCGATCTGGGGGCACGGCAGAACGCCCGCCACATCAAAACGCGACACGTCTCTACCATCCTTTTCACAACGCGATAAACTTGGGCGCGTTTCCAGAAAAACAAAATATCTCTGTGTAAAAACCTTATATTAAATGACAACATTACAAAAAAAAAGAGAAAAAAAACGTATAAATTATACCTTATACATATTACTTCTATCTTAAATTTATGGAGCCAAGTTATCAGATCCCAGGTTGGCTAAAAAATACCTTTAGGGTAACTTAGCAATTTTCGGGTGTTATTTTAAGATTTAAGGGTAAACAATTAACAAGGCATGGAACAATATATGAGGTTGTCCGTTACCATTATACATACATTATTTCCGCGGACTGTCCGAACTTTAAGGTGGCTTATAGCCCTTGTATGCGTTGAATGTTCGACACTGTCTCTCAGGGCAGAATCCAAAAAGATTTTCTTCAGAAGCGAATATCGAAGTTGTTTATAGTTTCGTATTTTTATTCCACAGAGTCTAAATAATCTTAGGTCATTATTATGAATGTATTGGATTATCACATTAGAGTCTACAATCGTTCTTAAAATCTCTTAAAACACAGGTACACACACAACATAGGAGTAATTGAAATCGGTTTAAATAGTTGATAACTTCCAGTGTTTATATGATATGATATTCTTCAGAACACACGTCAAGCACAATTTTATTATACATAGAACCGATTGACTATGACAACAACAATTAATAGACATATAACACGTGCGTAACATATCGACCCACGTCTCGCGTCCTACGGGATTCAGGAGCAATCAGACAATTTAATGTCATTAGACAGCGAATATTCATGAGTTGACTATATAAGCCAAGATATTTTCCATCTCACTACATTCAACGTACTTTCCCCAAGCATCATGAAGTACCAGGCCGTCCTCATATTTGCCCTCGTCTTATGCATCAGTCAAGGGGAAGGGCGAATGTTATGCGGAGGAAGACTGCCCGAAATCGTAGCGTATTTATGTGCAAACCCGTTGACAAGTAGAGAAGATTTCGCCAGTAAGTTTATACTCGATAGTTTTATTCTTTAAACATTCTTTGGTGAGACGATAAAACGTTTTTTAATGATAACTTTTATTGTGCTTGAAACATATTTAATTATATTGTTTTCAGGTTTTCAAATGAAACGATCCGAGAACTCTTACAACTCAATAACCAATGCTGTCGACTGGCCCTGGATCCCACATCATGAAGCTAAGGGGATTAGGAACAAGCGTAGAATCATCGACGAGTGTTGCAAAAAGTCCTGTACAGTTGACGAACTCATGGAATATTGTTAAAATATGCTATGAACTTTTCAGTATTAATTACATAAAATAATTGTAGCAGAATTTCAGATCTATGTTACCGATGTTACTAACGGGATCGTAAGCATGTAAATAAAATCTAGTCATAAATAATTACAATAATTTTTTTAAGCTTTTTCATTTATAATCCCAAAAACATCCAGTCGTTCCATATTTGGCCTTCCCCTTTCAAGAAATATAAAAGCAAACGATAAATCATTTTAGGTGATTTAGCGACCAATAAACGCACACATTAAACACCAGAACTAAATAAACCATTTGACACACAAACCGGGCCCTGAGAGCAATCATAACAATTTGCTGGGGGCTGGTTTTCTGCTCGATTCTCGTCAGCCTACATACTACTTCAATGACAGGTATTGCTGGCATACAGCGAAAACTGTTTTATAAATTTGAATTTACTGTGGTATTGTAAACATGACTGGTACGTCGACTCCGGCGCAAGTGCACATACGACGGCGAGAAAAGATTGAATAGGCAAAGCAGATTAATTGCCGAGTTTATCAAGCTTTATTATTTATGGGCTCAAGTAATCATCTGTAAAGTGGTATGAAAAGGTGATAGATAAATAAAGTTTTTAAAATTAGTTGTCATGAACAGTGTTTAGTTACAAAATTGTGTACTGATATTAAAATAGTAGTAGCAATGTTGATGATTTTTTCATATTTTCTACTTGTAAAAATGAGACAGATAAATTAATAAGTGCGGAATTTAATATAAAGTATATAGGTTGTGTAAAGCGCTATTAACGTATAATTAATGTAGATTAAAATTCTAATACTATTACAATAGACAAACAACCGTACATCGAAAAATTGTTATAGAGAATTAGAATGTTTAACTATGGATCCATAGATACTCCTATAGAATGTAAGTTAAATCTCGAAAAAGCAGAAAATTGTGTACCTTATCAAATACTTATAGGAAGTTTAATGTACTTAGCTGTCATGTCTCGATGTGATATTTTATATTCCATTCGTTATTTGAGTCCATTCAATAACTGTTATAATGAAACTCATTACAATCATGCTAAAAGAGCGAAGGTAGGTAAAGAGGTAAGTACATTAGTACTTACCGAAAACAAAACATAAATGTTAAGAATATAGTAAAGATAATGTAGAGTTAAAAGGTTATGTTGATGCTAATTGGGCTGGTGACACACTAGATAGAAAGTCTCATACTGATTTCTGCTTTATCATGTGTGGCTCAGTGATATCATGGCACAGATGGAAAAAGAAGTGAGTTTCTCTGTCTAGTACAGAAACTGAGTATGTATCATTATCAGAAGCAACTACAGAAGCAATTTGTTATATGATATCACAGGAAAACTATGTAATATGATAACCAGAGTGTATTGAATTTGGCCACCAGTCGTCAATCACTTAATACAACAAAAAAGTTGATGTACGTTATCATTATGTCAAACATGCTATAAAAAATAGTATTGTTAAAGTTATGTTTGTATATCTCAACTCAAGATAAGTCTGCAGATTTTTTGACAAAAGGCTCATTGTCAAATAAATTCTATACTGATAGCTTATGTTCCTTTGTAAAAAAAAAATTAAGTTAAAGAATTGATTGTTTTTAGTTAATTGAATTATTTTGTAAGATGAGGTTGTTATAATTTAGTAACAAATTATTATTATTGACGCCATATATTATATCTATAGTATAAGTAATGTATAATGATAAAAAAAGTAAGTTATCAGTTGTAAATCAGAAGTGCAAGTTTTAATAAGAAGAACGAGAAGAAACTTTTCCTCACTTTTTAATCGTCATGTTTTGGTGTACTGGGAAATTGTAAGGATCCAAGGTTGCATTATTACGTCAATATTTTTATAAATTTTCTTATTAGGCTGTAGAATCAGCCTTCTGTACATGTCGACAATTTTTTAATGTATAATACCTAAATTTATTTTACGGGACGAGCAAGTGTCAATTTCACATAGAAAATTTTGTTCAATAAAATGGTCGTCGCCTCAGGATTCAGAATATATCGCTTTATTTATATAGAGCACATCCATCCATATGGGTTTTCTACATACTACTTTAGTAAATAAAATAACTGTTTCGGCATATATCGATTTCAAGACCTCCATGAGATTTAATCATTAAGCCACGGAGGCGGAGTGCTATAAAAACAATGATTCTTAATCAATTCGTCTTCCGCGTAGAGGCAAAGTAAATCAGTCTTCGCTGTGTTTTAAATGAAAATATTTTTCACTTTCACTCCAGAATTGAAACGTAGAACGTGCTTTGCATGGTCAGTTTAACAGTTTTGAATATGAATTCAAGTTATATCTGGGGGTACGGCAGAGCACCTGCCACGTCGCGCAAAAACGCAGCACGGACCTATAATTTCAGTTCAGTTACTCTAAGTTCAGTTCAGTTATCAAGCAGGCATTGTATAAACACTGTATATAACAGATTTCATTCGTTATGAACCAGTAGTTTAAGAATTATAACTAGTCAATGTTTTTTAATTTTGTCACTCACTCACTGACTGACCGATCAACCAAACTCACCTCAGAAAACAAAAAGCACTTGTAGAAGACATAGAAGCTTCAAATTTAAATCACAATTAGGGTTTAACATATATACATTAAGCAAAACTACTTTTACGTTTCTCACCCAATTTGTATATTCAATAAGATAAACATAAACGCGTTTCCAGAAAAAAAACAAAATATCTCTGATTTCAAGGTATCTCAATATCAAAATTACGCGAGTACTACATATTTAATATGGTTTATTTCTTTACAGCCTTTTAGATAATTCTAAGTAAATAAGTACGAAAAATCTAAAAATTGGCATTTATACCCGTAAATAAACATTCTTTAGTGCTTCAATTGTTTCTCTACATAATTATGTATTTAATTAAATGAAACGGGTAAAAGGTTCGAAGGGTGCGTTACATGAGCTTTAATATTTGATTATGATCTACACAAACTAAAATCGATCTACATTTAACTGTCTCTATTTACAAGAACTACAAATATATTTGGACAGTTGAGCTTCACGACATTATAGCAAAACCTATGAAAGTTTCCATTAAACAATCAAGTAAATTACAAAAATTACATAGGAGTTATTGAAATCGATTCAAATAGTTGATATCTTCCAGTGTTTATAAGAATATCATATTACATAACACCCTTCAAGCAAAATCTTACTGCGCATCATAGAACCGATTGACTACGACTATAGAAATTAATATACATATAACACGTGCATAACTTATCGAACCACGTCACGCGTCCTACGGGATTCAATAAGATGATTTAATGTCATTAGACAGCAAATATTCATGAGATTACTATATAAGCCGAGATATTCCCCATCTCAATACATTCACCGAGCTATCTCCTCCGCAAGCAACATGAAGTACCAGGCCGTCCTCATCTTTGCTCTCGTCTTATGTAGCAGTCAAGGGCAAGGCCGAAAGTTGTGCGGACGAAAACTGTCCGACATCTTAGGGTATTTATGCGCAAACCCGTTGACAAGTAAAGAAGATTTGGACAGTAAGTACTCGGTTAGAGTTTTATTCTTAAACTTTCTTTGGTGAACCGATAAAACTTTTAATTATAACTTATGTCTCAACTCATCTTCCAGTTTTTAATTGCTGGAACCAAACTTAAATATATTGTTTTCAGGTTTTCAAATGAAACGATCGGAGAACTACTACAACTCAATAACAAATGCTGTCGACTGGCCCTGGATCCCACATCATAAAGCCAAGGGGATTAGGAACAAGCGTGAAATCATCGAGGAGTGTTGCGATAAGTCCTGCACCATTGACGAACTCATGGAATATTGTTAAAATATGCTATGAACTTCAACATAAGATCATTGTAGCAGAATTGTAAAATCTATGTTAGCGATGTTCTTAACGGGTTCCTATGCATGGAAATAAAATCTAGTCATAAATAATTTTATTGAGCTCTTTCATTTTCAATCACAAAAACATCTTGTCGCTCCATATTTGGCAAGGCATATATATATATTTTTTTTAATTCAAGTGCTATCTTGTCTCCATACTACAATTCATTCATCCGTTAGGTACTTATTCCGTTTTTACATAAACGAACATCAACAATTGATTGGCGCTAAATTCATATAATGAGAAATTAATAATAATACATTTAATTGTTGGTTGAGTCAAGATAATACAATTTTTATGGCCATATACTATTTAAGATCCAGTAAAAACACACACATACACTTATGCAGGCCCACACATTGCACATTCCCTCGCACACCTCAACAAATAAATTATTAGTTATTAGTAGGTATGTAATGTTCGTCGTATTAGGTGTAATACGTTTTGGCTTTAGTTTTGGTTATCCAATGGAAAGTTTTAGGTAACTAGAAAATTTGTTTTAAGTTTGTAATAAAAGTAGAGAATTGAGATTTTTCTTCAAGTCGAGTTAACTATCTAATCTTTAAGCGTTGCATCATATACATTTGCGGCATTGCCGCACTTACAAGTTGTAGTCGTAATTCAAAGATTGGGATAGGCCACGCCTAGGCATCAGACCGTAAGAAATATTTTTAAAGCCATATCTTGCGGCGGTTTTCCAAACATTTAGAATTATTAGGTGAATATTTGTTATTTGATACAACTTTTGGTTTGTTTTGGTTTTCCTTAGCAATGATTTGTGTATTTACTTTAATTGTCTTTGGTTACACGAAACAAAACATTAATAAGATGCAGGCACGATCTCATCCAAAAACAACACAACAACACTTCAAACTAGTTAAAAAAGCGAAATTAAAAAAAAAAATATTTTGAAATTTTAATAAGTTCTAAAATCATTTTTTTTTATCAAACATATTGTTTATATAAGTAACTAAGTACACACGAAACGTCAATATTTAAAAATTAGGAAGATCTAAATTTACATTTACAACCAGTTCCCAAATCAAAGGTTACTTCGCCTTTTATTTAAATCCTTAAGTTTTGGTCATGCTTCACTTGACATACTAGTATTGAAACAAAATTTCGTAAAGTCAGTCACTAGTCGAAGATTTTTTGCTGTAATTGTTTTGTTATTTTACGGGACGAGCAAGGGTCAATTTCACAACTGAACATTTTATTCAAGAAAAGGTTCATCTCCTCAATATTGAGAATGGCACGCTTTCTTTTATAGAGCAGACACTGTCATATGTGTTTTCTGCGTCTAGCATGAAGACAAAATAAGTTAGTAAAGATCGATTTCAAGACGGTATGCTATAAAAACTTTGATGCTTAATTAATTCATCTTCGGCGTAGAGGCAAAGTAAATATTGGTTTAAAGATCTGACAACTAGGCGATCAGCCTTCGCTGTCTATTAAATGGAAATACTTTTCACTGTCACTCCAGAATTGAAACGCAGAACGTGCTTTGCATGACCACTTAAACAGTTTTAAATATGAATACAAATTCTATTAACTTATTGGTAAAAGTAAAGCTTCCGAATAAGTTCATACAATATTTTAAGAGGTTCTGTAAATTCTCTTCTAAGTATAAAAACAAAGTTCAGAAAAACTTTTACAAACTCCTTCAACTTCTTAAGAAAAACGAATATGAAATAATAAAACAACATGAATATAAAAGAATTTTGTCCGAACCTTCAAGTTCACCGTGAAACTCCACCCTTAGTATTTTACAATTTACCCGATATCTATGTTAGTATTGCGATAGTCTACGGTCTAGTATTTTCAAGATCTTGTAGTAAGCAACTATGTCTACTCCTCCAGCTCTACAAACCAAGGATAAAAAGGCCGATGTGAGTATGGTTCTTGCTGTGCCAAGGTCCAAGGTTGGGAGCTATGACTTCAACAACTGATCGCGTGGCGGGATACGGACAAGGCTACACTGATACCGAGTTCTGCCTCTGGCGATTTCTGGTGGCGCTGTGGGGTTTTAGTACACACTAGCGAGTCCCACATGACCCTTTATCACAAGGCAGTCGTGCCGTGGGATATGGCTAACACATTTCCCCACGAAAAAAGGCTACTATGTCTGAATAATTAAACAGATTAATTATATTTTGAATTAGGAAAAAACGACGCCGAACACGTTCAACCTATATATCTTCGCTGTAACTTCTTTATCTATATATATACAACATATAATACATACATATGTACAAGGAAGGCCACGAGTACTATTCAAGTAGGTAACAGGTAAATAAAAGTTTGCGTGTGTTCATAATGAAAGTATGTGTATTCCCGAGGGCGCTGAGAAACTCATTTGTAAAATTACATCCGAGGGTCATATTCTGTTTGCATAAGTTATTATTATACAGTTTCATAATCGACGGAGCGATGTTTTTAATCATAGTAATCATGTTTGTTCTAGATCTCGTGTTGACAAAAAAGTTATATCGCAGACAAGCCAAGTTAATAATTGATTTCTGTAGTTACGATACTAATAGTTACAAGTCAAGGACCTAGAGCAGACGAGAAGAACTCGCAATAAACTCTACGCCACTCTATTTTATCGCCAAGTTTTTGGTTAACAATGAATAACTGAATAGTCTTTATTTACTTGGTACTGTTACAATATATCACTTGTACCCACCCTATCTGGCTGACAATCTAAAATAATAATAAAAATAAAGCTTTTTATATCTAGCACCAGCTCATCATCCGCTTGTCATGTGGCAAAGGCCTACCCCACTCTTCTCCGTTCGTATTCATTGCACGCGACGCCATAAATTTCCTATAATGTTTGTAAATATGTCGTCCCATAGATTATGTGGTCATCCTCTACTACGCTTTCCGTAACACTCTATTACTTTCCGTTCAGTCAGCGTGTTCCATCGAGAGAAGAGACTATATTAAAAGGCACTGCTTTATCATCGTCCGCTGCGGACGCATTTGTTGGTTTAATCGGAATACTATAATAATCTTATATGTATTTCTAATATTGTATAAATCTTTTTCCTAATTAAACTTCAGTTGTATCCGAAAATTATTTTTTTAAATATCCAATCGCTGGTTCAATCCTAACAGTACGTACATTATGCATTTTCCTAAAAAAAAAACAAAAATTCCCAAATGCAAAAATGGTGGTCAGTTCTGTTGTGGCAATTCTAATAAGTTATCTTGATAAACCGTCTAAAACAGCAAGTTATATGTATAGAGATAGAAAGAAGAGTGCCATTAGAAAGAACGAGTATGCATGATCGTCATTTATCTTTGAAATTATGTGGTTTCAGTTCCAGCAATTACTCCAATTGCGGTTTCTTCCTCGGCGTCGTTATAAAAATTTGTAAATACAGAGGGAGTTGGGTTGAAGCAAGAAAGGGTCGGAGCAAACAAGCCCGGCTAATTAGCCCGCGCTGACTTCCTATTTCATTATACCATGTCGTAAGTTATAAGCTGTTTGAATCGCGAATCAATGATTTTTAAAATCTTGTTGTGGACTGGAAGCGAGAAAATATGATTGAAAATTACACAGAAATTTTGTTTCTAGACCCAGTGTAAAAAAAAGTGTAACGTGTATCAATTAATTCATTTAATTGATATCACGGATTTCGCTTATAAATAATATGATATACTTAGCTATAATGAACATGATTCAAATATTGATTTAAGCTTAAACGATTTTTTTTTTTATAGAACGGGGGCAAACGGGCAGGAGGCTCACCTGATGTTAAGTGATACCGCCGCCCATGGACACTCTCAATGCTAGAGGGCTCGCGAGTGCGGCGAGTGCCTTTTAAGAATTGGTACGCTCTTTTCTTGAAGGACCCTAAGTCGATGATAAACGATGAATGACGCATTTGTAGGTTACATACGAGTAATTATTACTACAACATGTTTCTATAAAATGTCTTGTAACTTACACCACCGATTGGTTGATTAGCTGTGTCTGATGCTTACGTGGCTTTGGCTTTGAGAGCTTACCTGAAAAGATAAAATATTTCATTCAATATTACCGCAATGACAGTTAATTTTATACTATGCTGTGCGTGTATTATCTGTGGTCTACGGTTTCACCCGAATTAATTCGGTCGTAGCAGAACATCGTGTTCCAACCTAAAGATTTCCTCGGTAAATAGACTTTTTAATGCAATAATAATATTTTTCTTTTAGACATATGGTATCGCGGACTTTCTGTAGATATTAAGCTCTTCTATAAAACTGTAGTACATAACTTTGCCCCATTGTCAACGGTGTCCGTAGCGTACGCAATATATGAATATTTTTTGGTCATTTTCACAGCTTGGGTTATACTATTGCAATTCATACAAAACCCTAAATTCCGCATAGCTTTAACATTTAAACCTAAATATATAAAAATGAATCGCAGTTCGTTTGTCTCGCTAAAACTCGAGAATTACTGGTCCGATTTGGCTAGTTACGATCTTGAAATATTTGTGGAAGTTCAGGGAAGGTTTGAAACGGTGGGAAACTTAAATAATAAGAAAAGAAAAAATTCAATTGTCGTTTGTCTTTTTAGAAATAATAAAATTGTTTCTTGGTTGTCATCTAGTTATATATGCCTTCAGAAATTTGTACTTCATAGCAGTATGTGTAGTAATACTACCGAGGTCTGATCTCTTTGGTTTGTTTTAAAAAAATTGATTAAATATTTTGACACGTAGCAAGTTTCATATGCTGCAGTAAAACTCGAAGCAAAATGTAACGCAATTCCGACAACAGGATGACACCAAGTCTTTTCAGGATAAAACCGAGTAAAGGTTCTGGCTAAACCTAAGCCCAAAGACCGGGATAGACCAGATAAAATTGTAAGACGTACGAACTCACAAAATATGTAGTTTAATTACCAATTCGTTCGTCACTTCACAAAATTCGCAGAAATTAAA